CTTCGTCGTCGCTCGTGGCTCGCGCGATCCATCAATTTGCACCTAAAACCTATTCTTCATGATCTGTATTGTGTTTTCATGGAATTTTCCAAAATATCGGAATACACCCGTTATAAAATATAATTAATTGAACAGAAGAGATCGAAATATCAGGTTTTTTTCTTATTTTAAATAATCTCAAAGAGCTAAAACTCAAACATTTGTATTGTACAAATATTTAAACGCATTATACATTTTCAATACGATTACGCCATCGAAAAACGGATTCTGCGTCAAAAGTTTGAAATCATGTATGCAAATTATGATAGCATTATTTCTACTATAGAGCATTTCGTATCACGTAATGAATTTTTAACTGTTTTTGACATATTTATGATCCCGCGAACATTTTGTTGGTAATGTTTCTTCGTACATTCCGACCATAATACCTTCCAGTATTCAAACCACTCGATACAATCGGATTCAACATCGACGACCAAAATTAACGTAAAAACATGCGTTTAAACAATGAGAGATTTTAAAATTTATAATTCTTTTTTTTTAATAATTAGTGAATTAATAAGTATCACGAAATTATTATCGCAATGATGCAGACGTGTACTTAGATTCCTGCAATTTTAATTAATGATCGCGACATAGCTGCGCAATGCAAATTGCGTATACCGTCATCCGTTTCGCTTAATTTGACGAATCGCTCATTATATTCGTCGTTATTACACAAGCATTTTGACAATGCTCGATTTAAATTCATTCGGGTGTATTTTGCAGATACAAGCGAATCAGGCGCGCATTTTTTCAATTAATTTGACGAATCGTCCCTGACGGCCAAAGCCGTTATCGCAATAGGATTGTACTTCAATCGCGATTGTACACCATTCGGAAGAAGAGAAAGAAAAAAAAATTATCACCGTTGTGCAACGTCTGTTGCAACGTTTGTTGTGCTTCGTCGAAATTTCAAAGATGCCCGTTTACACGATTGAATGAATAAACGAAGTTATCTGTTCGTGAATTCGGCGCGATTGCAATTTTAGTATTTCGACCGGTAATAAGTTTTTTCTGTTATTGTCTAATTGTAAGTCAGTTAAAATGTATTAGACTCGCGGTATTCGGACAAAGAGGCCATGGCGTGCGAAATATCGCTGTCTATTTTGTCTGACTTGAATTTTATCGGTCACTTCTCACGTGTATACGTGTATTGATATTTTCCGTGCTTCTCCTCGCTGTACGAAGCGTTACAAATTTGGATCGTATAAATTTCTCCCGACTCACGTTCGCGGATACGCAAATTTAGATTCATCAATTGTAATAATTAACGTAATAATTTGATGAGCAGATATGCGAAAAATTAATGTCTCATTTACTGTCCTGCGGAGCCATTGCTATAACAAATGACAAATAACGTGCTTATGTTGCTCAGCGTTGTTTTTAATTTAATCAATAACAATAAAATTTGCGCGTTTATTCACAGCCTGACGCAGTTGACATTATACTTAAACGCAGATACAAATCCAAATGTTAGTTTAACGAATTTGTAAGATTTCGTATGATGCATAATAAAAAGAAATGTCTTACGATGTTTGATAAAAGTAGTACCACTTAAAATATAATCACTTTAGGATTTAACTAGGCTTTAAAAACATATTGATCACTGAAATTATTAATTTGAAATACTTTATTATTTTTAAAGTTTTATTTGAAATACTTTATTATTTATTATCTTCGTTGTTTTGACTAGTATACGAAACTTACTTTCTCCTCGAAATAATCGAAGAAGAAATTATTATTATTGATTAATTTTATCAGCGGTAGAAAAGATAATGTTGAATATCCACGATTACTTTAAAACATAATGATTCGTTACATCGAGCGTGTGAATACCATTAAGTCAAGTCTTGTGTTTTGTGAAATTTTTTGATTTGTATGTAGAGAGAGGAAAAGTCGCCCATTATTTATTAACCTAGAATCATTGATATCGTTTCGAGTGTAACGATGCCGACGAGTAATTACGCACGTCTAACGCGTCTGTGTGTTGTGGCGTATGGCAGTTGGAATAACCCGCGCAACTACCCCCCGTGTGCGTCTATCTACCTACGCACTTGTGCACGAATGAAGGATGCAAAAGAGAAGGGAGCGTACTCTCACTCGAATAGGGGATGGGCGAAGGTTCGAAGGTAGATAGAGAAGAAGGA